TAAAGAAAAGGCAAAAAACAGAAAAAAAAACTAAGGCACACAGACACGACACCACGCGGCAGACGCGCCACGCAACAGACGCAGCACACAACGCCAAAAGGAAAAAGTACCCAGCGGAGCGGCGCCTCCGAAGGGACGCGGCCACCCGCAGCGCACTGCCACCCCGCAAGGAAAGAGAGGGTGAGGCACACCGTCCACTCTCCCTCCCTCCCATTCCCTTCTCTTCCAGCGGCGGGACTTCGCACAGCCGCACACTGCGCCGCCGTCGCCACGTGCAAATTGGCGCCGCTGCAGTGCCCCAACGGTGCACTGCTGCCTGCCTGTTTGCCTGCCTGTATGTGTGTTGTTATGCGCACCCGCAGCGGCAGTGGGAGGGCAGGGAGCGCGCCAGCACGCACAAGCACACACACGAGAGGGGTTTGGCGGGGCGGGCCGGTGGGTGCGGCACAGGCGCCCAGACAGCAGGGAGGCGGGGGCAACGCAGCAAACAAATAAAAAAATTCGGGGCCCAACCGAAACAAAAGGTAAAAAGAAAAGAGGAAATTTCGGCAGTTTGTTTCTTCACCGGCTGCGTGGATATGTTTATTGCCCGTTTCAAAGGAAGAAACGACTGCCTGGTAGCAGACACACAATATCACGCGCACAAACATCACGTTTTCACCTCACGGTGACCACGGCCTCGTGCCTCATTTCTGTGAACCGCATCGCCAAGAGGCCGGCACCGCGTGTGTGTGTGTGCAGCAGCAAACAGGAGGGGGAAAGGGGTGCGCCACCCATGGGAACCTGCACGGAGCGGCGAAGCAAGAAGTTATAAGAAAAGGGAAACATCCCTCAGAGCACAGGAGAGAGAGAAGGAGTGTCCCACAGAGGACAAGAAGCAAACTGAACGCACAAAGCGTACGCGTCGTCCCTGCCAGGATGTGTGTGTGCGGTTGCTTCTCATCACCTACGCAGCAGCGCAGGCAAGGGCAGCCGTGTGCAGCAGTAGCAGCAGCAGTGGGGCACGCACAAATATAGTCATAATTACACTGCCGTCCGCGTTGCTTTTGGTGTGTTTCGCAGCACTTGGGCCGCTGGTGGTGGTGGTCGTCGTCGTCGTGGCTCCACCAACGGCAGTAGTGGTGGGATGGGAAGTGCCTGATCGGGCTGAAGAAGTTGGGGGTGTCTCTTCCCCTCTGGGCCCCTTTGGTCGGACGCCTGCCGGGGCCGTTGCGGGTACCCGTGGCGTTGGTGGCCCTGTTCCCCTTGCGGCCGGGGCTGGAGGTCCACCGGGGCACCCGCGCGCCGCCTGGTGGACCGCCGTCCGGTGCGTGGGCCCCCGACGGCTGTCATGCCGGCTCGGAGGCGCGAGTTCCTCCTCCCGCAGGCAGCGGCGCACGCGCCCCCGCCGCGGTAGCAGCCGCAGCGCACAATTCTGCAAAACAACGCCCGAGCTGCCTTGCGCGGCTGTACTGGACGGAGTGCGGAGCCGTTTGTTTGCCCCCAGCCACTTCTTGTACGCTTCAAGAGGGACATTCGTCTCACAGTGCACCGTAAACGCGGCAGCCACCGCCTCCCCCGCCGCGGACGCCGCGCAGTTGGCGTTACAGACAGCAGCCAGACATGACGGCTCGGGCCGCCAACGCCGTCGCCCACACCGGCAGCCGCAGCCCGAGAGACAAGAGGCACCAGCGGCCTTCTGCACGGCGTCCAAGCTGTCTCAGCAGCCGCACGTCGACTAATCTTTTTCTCCTTCGCCACACAAGACACCTCCAGCGCAACATTCAGTGGAGAGACAGCCGCCTCCGCCACAGTCGCAGCAGCAGCCGCCGCACCCTCGCCGCCGTCGCCATAAGTAAAAAGAAAAACAACAACTGGTCGCAGGGTCGCTGGAGCCAGCGAAATGATCTACCGGGCAGCGGAGAGGAAGAGGGAAGAAACAAGAGAGCCAAGTAGGGCGGCGAAGACAGCAGACGACGAGAACAAAAAGTCCACGCGGCCACACGCATCTGCCAGCACCGGCCACGAAAGGAGCACCACCCACTTGCCCTGCAATTTGTGTGTGTGTGTGTGTGTGTGCCTGCAGCCACGCAACGCAAAGAGGGAGAAGAAAGAAGCGTGTGGGGGCACAGGGAAACACACACGCACAGCGGAGGCGCAGGGCGGAAAGGAATCGGAGGATGCATGGGACTCGGGATGGCGCTGCAGCCCAAACGCCCGCCTGCCACGGGAAATATGATGAAAAGCAAAGAAGAAAAAAGGAAAAAAAATCGTACCAGCATCATGTAT